ATTTGGCTGCGCCAAGTGTAAAGAATTTAGGGGACCTTAAGCTTCACCTTTAAGTCTTGAACGCAATAGCAACGTGCTGTTCCTAGTGCGTGCGTCAAACACTATGTGCGTGAAACCATTTTGAACTTGCTATGCCACCACTACGTGCACGTGCACTTAAGGCAATAGGCGCTGTAGCCTGTGTGCCGTTTGTAGTGGCTGACCGGCTTTAAACCACAAAGCCTATATGATAATCGCGTGATCTGACACCCGCTGGCAATGGGCGCTTGTATCATGCATTATTCCTGAAATGTTTCATGTTGTATTGTGAAGGATGTATTCAGGGCGCGTGTGTCTGTAAAGTATGAAAGTTACTTTCACTTTATTCTCAAGCAGAGATAGTTGGTTTCACTGTGTTCGGAAGCAGAAGCGTGGCCGTGCGGTAGAACGTCCACTTGCCATGCAAACAACCCGGACCTCAACGGACCTCAACGGAGCCCACTCGGACCTCAACGACACATGTTCAATTCCCACATTGCCACAAAATTTTTTATCAATTATTTTATTTGCATCACTTTCAATTTTTCGTCACGCATAGGATAATGATTGTTCACTCATAACCAACGAAACCAACACCGACGCTAATGCTGACGCTGGAATTACTGCGAAATGAGCTCTTTAACGCTATTGCGTTAATAAAATTCTACGAAAGCAGTGTAGCTTCTGTTGTTTATTGATGCTACACGTGTTAGGCATCGTCTATTCTTTGTATCTTCTGCCCGTCTGTCTTTCACGGTTCTTGCCCTTTTGTATCTTGTCGCAGTGCAGTTGCGGTTAGGTATATATATATATATATATATATATATATATATATATATATATATATATATATATTATATATATATATATATATATATATATATATATATATATATAGAAAGAGAGAGGAGGAGGGAAAAGAAGCGGGTACTTGTGCGAGAAAGCAAGCAATTGTTTTATAGATATACGTTTGGGCCGTGGCAAAGAATGCATGATTCTGTGACGAAGATCGTGAGACGGCCAAAACGTGAATTCATAAATAAATTGCTTGCTTTCTCGTACGTGTACCCGTTTCTTTTCTTGTACGTAATGGGACTACTACACACACACACACACACACACATATCTATCTATCTATCTATCTATATATATATATATATATATATATATATATATATATATATATATATATATATATATATATATATATATATATATATAGTATATATATATATATATATATATATATATATATATATATATATATATATATATATATATATATATATATATATATATATATATATATATATATGTGTGTGTGTGTGTGTGTGTGTGTTTGATCTCTAACAGACAATAATGCCAAGGAAAGTGTAGAGAAAGGTATTAGACCGAATTGTAATGTAAATGGGAAAAAATACGTGGGCAGGAAGCGAACCTACGACCTTCGAATAACGCGTTCGATGCTCTACCACTGAGCTACCACAGCGGCTATCCCCCCAGCCACTTTATTGGGTTTATATGTGAACTTTAACGTGGGAGTGTCAGTCATCGCTACCAGTACCCTTGGTGGAGAGTGTGGCACACTCTTATGAGCCTGTTTGGTCTCACGTAGCACGCGAAATTATTACTAGGGGGCCGCTGACCAATAGTCCCTCGCATACAACCTAAAGGCATGGAGTCTTCCAGTACGAGATCCTCGTAATGAATTAAGGAGAGAAGTGTATACGTAAGGGCAGGGCTAATTTTTCCGTTTGTTACACAATACTAATGAGATCTAACAGACAATAATGTCAAAGAAGGTAATGGCAAAGATAATAAACCGAATATATATATATATATAATATATATATATATATATATATATATATATATATATATATATATATATATATATATATATATATATATATATATATATATATATATATTGGTGATAAAGTGGTGATATGGCGCTTGACTGCTGATCCGAAGGTCGCAAAATGGAGTCCCGGCTGCCGCAACTGAATTTTTGATGGAGGCAAAAATGATCGAGGCTCTAGTACCTAGCCTTGATTTAAATGTAGGTTCAAGAACCCCAGCTGCTCAGCTGCTTGCGATTTCCGGAGCGTTTTCTCATGATATGACTTGAATATATTATGGGTTTGGAACTTTGAATTCCAACATTATTTATTATATTGAGCTTGTATCATAGTCTAAGTTTTGTGTATATGTGAAAGCCTTTCGAAAAAGCACTTGATCTCTTTGCTTTTCGGTTCCATAATTAGGCATTGTTGTTATATAAATTATAGAAGCAAGAAGAGATCAAGTCATATATATATATATATATATATATATATATATATATATATATATATATATATATATATATATATATATATATATATATATATATATAAAGTGGTCACCTTTGATTGCTGTATATAAATGGGTGAGAGGTGGCACGTCAAGAGAACCTCATTTATTATGTCAACGTATTTTTTTAATTTTTATTTAACAATACTGTAGGTCTTCTGCAGACCCATACAGGAATAGAAGCTCTCTTGAAGTGTCGCCTCTCACACTTTGGTACAATCACCGCTTCGTGCGATTTGTGTGCGACCTTCTTCTTGACGGCCTAGTGAATTTCGCGAGTGCTGTGCCGTGATTTAAAACTGCGTCCGATGTCGTAAACTCAATGACCGGCGTTTCTTTCCGAATGCAGTGGACAGTACTCCTACTGGCAGGACTGGCGTATCGGCACCGGCGAGCGCGTTACCTGCCAGTAGTGGATGTCGTCGGCGTCCTTCTGGGAGGCGGGCGCCAGCGGCCGCGCGTCTCCTACGACGTGCGGCGTTGGTCGAAGACGACGTCGTGCTAGTGGCGGCTTCGGACGAGGACGAGCTCTTCCTCCCGCTCTCCAAGGGACTGCGCGTGATGCGTGACGTCAGCTCCATCACGGCGCTCAAGGGCAAGTCGGTGAGCCTCGTGTGTCCGCTCTACGTTGCCGCCTGGGCCTCCGTTTCGTGGGAAAAAGGTGATTTCTTTCACGTGTTTTACAATTTACTAGTTTCGCAATATATGTGTTTCATACATTAATAAATTATTGACTGACATGGTTGAATGTTGGCCAGACTTTCTGTTCATACAATTTTCCATGGTCTAGTGGCTAAGATACTCGGCTATGGACCCGCAGGTCGTGGGATCAAATACCGACTGCAGCGGCTGCATTTTTGATGGAGGCGAAAATGGTAGAGGCTCGGGTGCTCGGATATGAGTGCACGTCTAAAGAACCCCAGGTGGTCAAAACTTCCGGAGGCCTCCACTACGGCGTCTCTCATAATCTTGTGGTGGTTTCAAGACACTAAATCCTACATATCTATCAATCCTGAACAATTCTTGCGAATATTCATCACATTTTTTCAATTGATAGTGTCGCTGCTGTGCAATGGCGTCATCGTTTAGCGCATTAAAAACTTGCGTTTCTTTGCAGCTCCTTCAAAATATTATTAACTTTCTGCGTGATCTTCTTATTGCTAGTTTATTTAAATGTACGAGAGTTAACTCCTACGAGCGGCAACAACTTTTCGCTGTCACACTTAGATGAGGCAGCATGCAGCTAGATGATTGTGGCCAGTTGGTGTATTTCACGAAAATATTATTCTCGCTTGCAAAATTTATCATACACGCATGATCCCGCAGCAACCGTAATATTTTGAATGTGAACACGCCAAATCACGAAATGAAACACTCAGTACCATACATTCCACGTGCCCTTCTAAGCATGAAGCGTGCTTGTTCTGACAAAAAAAGCAGCTTATTTTGCCATGCATACTACTAATGTAAATGCGGTTCAAAAATGACTTGCCTGTTTTGCTTTGTAATGCTTGGCTTATATTTCAAAGGCTCAACTATTCCCTACTTTGCATCACGTTTGTGCTCATAATCGAGCCATTTCCGGTGCCAATTATTTCTTGTAAGGTAGCCGTGAACTGCATTTGGCCACAGCTTACAGCAATGCCAAAATGCGTATGAAAATTCGTATGAAAGTATGAATAACCGTAAACTTTAGTTTAAGAAAGCTCGGTGTGCAACGAGTGTCCAAGCAATAAAGCAGAGGTAACTGGCTCATTTACATACACGCTTTAGAGACTAGAGTGAACGATGCTGATGTGATGAGTTACAGCGCCATACCTTTGCCTTTTCGCTGTAGGTGGTTTATAATATCGTAACACCCACTTTTTAAGAGTAGATCGACAGAAAATATTGAATTACACTCTTTTGAAGTTTTATACATGTGCCAATTTTTTTAGATGGTCTAAAGCATTGGTCGGTAACTTGCGGTCTATACGGGGCAGCATTTCGCGGCTCCTGATACAACGTCAGAACTACCACCCACCTACCATCCCACCCACCCACCCACTTCTTACTTTTTGATGTCCCTGCGTAAAGGCTGACATGGCAGTTTTGACCTCAAATGTGGTAAGACCAGAACCGAGAAATATCGCTTTTAGTAACCATTGCAACTTTTGTGTTTCAATGCTGCAAGCTGCAGACACGCCTGTTGAAAATGAACATGATTTGTGTATCGCTTTAGTTTGTCATCGTCAACTTGCCCCCCCCCCCCCCACCTGCTCCGTTCGGTCGACTTCAAGTAAGCTCAGCCTCCCCGCCCCCCTCCGGCCTCTAATAGTTGCTTACTCCCATCTAAAGCATTCACACGCCATGTTTTCGATTTTCTAGTGCATTTTACTTTATCCCGAGGGTTTTATCCTGTACTTTGCATATGAGTGCTCGTGTCACAACTGAATGAAATAACACATTGCTTTGTTCTAGGAATGAACCAACGGAACATTATGTTTTCTAAATTTAATTTTCTTCATTACTTTAGCCTTAGTAGCAATATTTGTCACGGATATCACTTGCTTTTTATGTTGCTGAAATAAATACCCTTTGCGGAAGCAAAAACTTCAGAGCATATATCAAGTGTAGATAGCAGGAAAATGACTACCGGTAATGTGTCCTGTTATTACAAGCCACCGAGAAGTTTCTCGTTTGCGTCAAACATTTCAATCAATTCACACTTTCCCAACCAATTGCTCTTTCATTAGCTGTAGACGCACGTGGATGCATAGATAAAACAGACGATTGATCGTTTAAAGCATGTTTTTCAAGAACACTCTTGATCTTCCTGTTTACGTTTCTATCTAAAAAATGGCACAGTGACCGAGTTGACTAAATCAATCTTTCAGGAAGCAACAAGATTCCATTCAACCACAGGCAGCGTGTCCAGCCAGATGGCAGCCTCTCAATCAGCAATGTACAGCAAGTATCGGATGACGGCAACTACGTCTGCAGATTTACAGACTCTCGCAACCAGAAGCACACGGGAAACGTCCTTCTAAAAGTGATCGGTGAGTACTCCCGCAGCATTCACACGACAACCACCTTTGTCGAAAGTAAACCAGAACAAGATGTGAAACCACAAATGATTCACAGGTCATCTCTTCAAGAAACTACGTTTACGGCGTCACACTATCGCACATCTGAGTTGCAAGCTAATTTTCAAACATCTAGTACTCTGCAACATACAACTAAAACGCACTATATTCTTATTTAAGATCTGGCCCCCGGGTATCCTTTGCGGCACAATGCTGTGACCCTAAAAGCGCCATGGTAATGAAGAGCATCAAAAACGTAGTGGTAACCAACGTAATAAATTTTCCGCGTTGATTTCCTTTTGACAGCAAACTGTTCAAGCTCGAAATTTAGGCCACGCATAGGGATCGAAAATTATTGTCATGATGGCCTCCATCTTTTAGCGCGTACATCGATCGGCAAGTGCTCTCTTCGTCCTCCTCTTGATCGTACTAGACTTTGCTAGTTAGGTTAATCAATGATGTTTGATAATTAGGGTCAAGCTAATAGAACATTCTTATTTAAGAACGTTCTAATTAACACATTCCACCCCTTTACTTTAGTGTACTATAAATTGACGTGCTATACCTAGTTTTGTCTGCGTGACGCCAAACGACGACATGAGATGGCAGCAGACAGGTGACAGATCACAGCATACGACAGTTCCAGCTGTCAGTACATATCATCAGGGTACTGAAGAAAACATAGTTTCAAAATTTTATGGAAATCGATCAATAACAAACATTGCCGGAATTCTGTTCTGATTAAGCTAGCCCGTGTTCAGTTAGTGCTAGCTCTCATGTATTTCATATAACGGAGCCTATTCACCAGTAACTATTCTCGGCATTTGAACGCAATTTTGAGAGAGCCCAGAAACAGGTGTGTCTTTGAAGTGTGCCTTCTTTCCTAGTGTCGTTGCAGCCATGATGTGCAGTGAATCAAACTCAAGCTGCATAGTGTGGATAGCCATTTGACAGAAATGCGAAAATATTTAAACTAATCGAATCGGACAAACAGGTTGGGGCAAGTCCTCGTTGTGTCTTCCCTGTGGGACCGATGTTGTAAAGAGTTTTTTATCACTATAGATCTAAGATGCAGGTACGATTTCGTTCTTTTTGCATTGCGATAATTTAAACGTTTGTACGAAGTTCTCGTCTTTGTACAAACCTGCGTCATGAAGTGAATAAATGTCACACGGTCCCTTATGCATTTGCTTAACATGACTCTAAGGTTAATGTTACATTCTTTTTTTTTGACCAGTTGTATTGATTTATGAAACCAGGATTAAATGACTGGATGAAATATATGCACAGAAAGAATGATAGTATGAGAAGTGTTCGTGAATACCGGCCCAGCTTCTCCTAGTTTTTCAAATCTTTCAGCTTCTTGATTGATTTGTGGGGTTTAACGTCCCAAAACCACCATATGATTATGAGAGACGCCGTAGTGGAGGACTCCGGAAATTTTGACCACCTGGGGTTCTTTAACGTGCACCCAAATCTGAGCACACGGGCCTACGACATTTCCGCCTCCATCGGAAATGCAGCCGCCGCAGCCGGGATTTGAACCCGCGACCTGCGGGTCAGCAGCCGAGTACCTTAGCCACTAGACCATCTTTCAGCTTCTTAGTGTTCATGAAAAACCCAACGTTAAGTTCTGGCATGTCTGACTGTCGATATGCCGTTCTTGGTGTGAGTTGCAACATTAGCATTCCAAAATGGTGCAGTTGTTAAAGTTACAGAAACAAAAGATGAGGATGCACCAGGTATCATACTGCGAATGGCCCCGAGGCCTTACCCTTAGTCTCTTTCAGTTTCACGTTAATCGCAGTCATATGGGAACTCTCCTCATTCCTATTAATAAATTAATTTGGCTTGTTCGTAATGACCATTTAGTTCCCATGACACCAAAGTTCAAGTACAGCATTATCTAAAGTGCTAGAAGAGCAGCAAGAAAAGCCAAGAGGCACACTTTTTTAGGGTGCTTCAGCAAAATCGAAATTTACTGAGGTTAGGTGCAGAGCTTCAAGAACGTTTTTCTGCTGTATGACATCAATAAAGTTGTGTTCTCTCTCTCTGCTGTATGACATAATACTCCCAACACAGCGGTCTGCCTTACGGGCTCGAGCTCACTTTGTCGAAAGATATGCGTGGCACGGAATCTTGGGCTTGCCACAACAGCTACAGGGGTTTCTTTCTGTGCAACGTTCACCGCGAATTCGATAAGTGGTACACCAAGCGTAGTGACTGAGAAATGCTTCGCTGCAGGGCATGCAATTATAGTTTGAACAGCTTCCCTGTAGTTAGCCGAACGCCGGAGTGTATGGCCATATGGTGAATAAAGAAAAAGAAGAGCCCCAAAAAGTCGAGCGGGAGAACATGCAGGCGTTGACCTTTCCATGCAGTAAAACAACATCAAAGCAAGGTGCCGTTATTTGCACACAATACTTGTTCGCGCCAGCGGGTCTGCCTGGCATTTTGCGCGCATATATAGGAGGAAAAGTTGTTGCCAAAGCGAGAGTCTACAAGGTGGTTTTTGCATCGTTCTTCGAAGATTTATGTTTCTATTAAAACACAAAAGGGTGAAATGCCATCCACTTTCGTATCTTGTTGATTTCTCTGCCTTTCGGAGCAGATCATGCGTGCGAGAAATGTCTATAATGCAGTGGCTGATATTGCGCCCGTGTTTTAACACTAGCAGTTTGTTTCTTTTCTTGTTTTTTGCGCCTCACGCTTTTACTATTTTATCAGCATCACTGCATGCAGTTTTCAATGCCAGGATCGACGATGACGACCTCTACAAAGCACCTGCTGTCGACATCAACGCGTTTAAAAAAGGAATCGGTCTTCTCAGTCTTATTGGTACAAGTTGGCGAATTCTGATTAATGTAGCAATAATTATAATAATGAAAATGAAGCATACCGAACAAAAATTGAACCACCATTTTTTAATCGTGAATAGAGTGTTCTGGATAGGTGTCAAAAAAATTAAACAAAAAAAAAACTGGAGAACTTGACGATGTCAAAAAGCTTGGCTGGGTAAGCGAACGAGAGAAGTGCGTAGCATAAGTAGTATCTGGAAAAACGCAAATCCTTTAGATTAGCTTTACCTTTATTTATATGAACATTCTTTCCCTCATGTGCGCACATGCCCCGCCGCGGTGGTCTGCTGAAGTACTCGGCTGCTGACCCGCAGGTCGCGGGATCGAATCCCGGCTGTGGCGGCTGCGTTTCCGATGGAGGCGGAAATGTTGTAGGCCCGTGTGCTCCGATTTGGGTGCACGTCAATGAACCCCAGGTTGTCGAAATTTCCGGAGCCCTCCACTACAGTGTCTCTCATAAAAAAGTGGTGGTTTTGGGACGTTAAATCTCACATATAAAATCATATCATCATGTGCGCACACTAAGGTTTACAAAATCTGAAAACGCGGTATGAAGCTCCTAGTCAGCAAGTACATACAAAAACACGAACCGTTGGCCTGGTGGTGCGCGAATGCTCTACTAACCCCTTCAGGGCAGTCGGCTGCTGTAATGAAGCATGCGCAGAGGGCAGTCACCTCTACACACACTGTTTGGCCTTTGCCGACAGAGCTAACAAAATGTTGGCCAAGTGAACTGAACAAAAAAAAAGAACTTGTTCGCAGAAAATTTCGAATGACAGAGCAACTTGCAAAAGCAGGAAATAGCCAACTTTGTTGACGAACAACAGTGTATATTCTCGACCATCACCAATGTGTGATAATCAGTGTTTGAAATCGAAAGCTGGTTGTGTTCCCGTGTATTTTGTCGCACCTTTTTATACGGTGTTCTTCACAAGAAATCTACGACACATCTGTAAAATGAGTTCTTCCTGTTGCACAAAGCACATTTCGAATGAAGAATATTTTCATAGAACTTACACTAGCGGGGGACATTGAAACGAGGCCCCGCCGCGGTGGTCTAGTGGCTAAGGTACTCGGCTGCTGACCCGCAGGTCGCGGGTTCAAATCCCGGCGGCGGCGGCTGCATTTCCAATGGAGGCGGAAATGTTGTGGGCCCGTGTGCTCAGATTTGGGCGCACGTTAAAGAACCCCAGGTGGTCGAAATTTCTGGAGTCCTCCACTACGGCGTCTCTCATAATCATATGGTGGTTTTGGGACGTTAAACCCCACAAATCAATCAATCAACATTGAAACGAGCACTTTTGTGTTTGTTGGCATTCAAGTGCATACTACACGATAACAAAACAACCATTCTGCTATTTCCCGTCTTTTGAAAACATATTAACAAGTACTTCCTCTTTTTACGAACAAATTACGCGCATGTAAACGTAGGTTGAGATCATACAATGGCGACTGTCTTACCTTTAGGGGATACACTACCCGCCTTAATGACGCGTTCAGCCTGCCGTTCCGATGAACCGCATTCTTCGCCAACACATCTAGCTAGTAGCTGTTTGATTAATGTTTATGTTCCTCTCATAGTTAACATGCACGTGGGGGCTCGATTGTCCCAAATTAGAGCTATAAATATTCATGAGGGGGTTCTCGGAGGTATTGCACATCCTAGGAAGTTCGTTGTACTGAGCGATACACCGTTCTCTTTTCGTTTTCTCTTTACAATGTTGTCACATCAAACTTAACGTTACCGGTGTAATCGATATATAAAATCAGTTCATCATGATATACTACAGGCATGCACACAAGCTACACACTCAAAAACAGAAGGAAACATCGAAGTTCTGCTTTGGTTCTTTCAAACGAACCAGTGGAAGACAACGCTGATCGTCCAAACTGGCATTTGCTTGTAGACTGTAATATACAGTAACAGCTGCAGAGTTTCGGATCATTTATGCATCATTACTAACGTCTGCTATTTTTAATGTTCAGGAATTTGTAATGCATCTGCATTGCTAAAGGTTATTAATAGCTCAATAATGATAAAATATGACAAGCTGTTACCGTAGATATTGCTACTGAGCAGAGCGCCGATATAGGACCGTTTGGGCGTATACGTCG